ATTCAAGCAAAACCAACATTAATAACAATAATGGTGTGACGGGTGGGCCGCCCACGTATGGCACGAGTATTAAGTATACGACACAAGTGTCGGGTCTTCCGCGACCGCAAACGGCACACATTGTCTCCACTTCTAGTCAGAGCGCAGACAACCATAAGATAAAGGCGGCCAACCATACGGACAGTCGGTTCAGACAGTACTCGGGCGATAGGACGCAGAACAGCGTCCGATGCGATGCGAGTCAACGTCAAGTCAAACCCTATTATTACGGAATGAGTACTAATAATAAGCCGTATGAGAGGCCCAACACCAACACCAACGCCGCTAACAATAGCTTCAATTACAACAACCGAATGCAGTTTCAACCCCAACCCCAACCCCAACCGCCCAACCCATCCAAACCGGTGTTCTCGCCCTCTTTCAACAGTCAACCCATTAACCAAAAACCTAAAGCTATGGCACCGAACGGTTCGCTCAGTTTTAGACCAACTCTTAAGCCGACGCCTAAAAGAGACGACTCTTCGGTGAAAGAGATCTCTATCGAGAATAATAACGAAAATTATATCAAAAATAGTGATAAATCGGAGACCAATGAAGATCTCGATTGTAATTCTAATGAGAATTCATTTCTACCCAAAAGTATTCAACGAATGAGAGAATTGACCCCAAATTTCATGAGAAGAGACTCTAAGGAATCGGGAAGTGATGTGAAGTGCGACAAAACGATGACCGAGTCGGGCGTCAAAGGGGACAGTATTAGTTGCGTCGGCCCTAACAGTGAGGTCGACAACAGAGACTTTCTAATCGACGACGAGATCAGTGATCAGCCCGAGCTTACCCTCGCCTCGAGTATCAGTAAAAAGGATTTAATGAAAACATTGAATTCAGAACTCGAGGGACTTATTCTGAAACAGGAGTCGAGTCACGCGAGCCTATCGTCGCCGACCCCCTCCTCGCCCAGTGTCTCGCTATCCACGTCTTCGTCGGCGTCGACAGTGATTCCCAACAAAAAGCCTTTCCGAAGGCCGAGACCACTATCGTTGGTCGAAGGGGCCGACGGCTCCTACGGCTTGGATTCGCCTTCGTTTCGGGCCGCGAGTCAGGACTTAATTGGTATCAAAACTCTACTCTTCAGACTCCACGGCTTACTTCAGAATGTAATTCAAGTTTTATATTACTTTTGATTTAAATTTAGAGTAAAACTTAAATTATATTTAAATTTTGCGAATAAAAGGCTGAAACGCTGAACCCATTTGAGCACAATTACACTCAAAACAAATTTTACAATCAATTAATGATTGCGGAAAACGATGACAACAAAAGCGGTGATTGCGATGACTTAAGCAAAGAGAACTTCGATCTGAAGCGACAAATCGTTTTACAGCAACAGATCATTGAAGACAAAGACAGAACCATTCGGTTATTACAGCAACAAATGGTAACACATTTTGTTTAATCAATTGGACAGACATTCGTAACAATTGTTAGACAATTTACTCGCACTTTCTTTTGCATGTTTTCATTATTTGATTTTGGTTTTCAAGTCTATAGTTAAGCGAATGGTTGTTGTGTTGAAAAAACTGACTTTTTATAACCACTATATTCCTATAAATGTAATGATTATATAATTCTAGTGATGAATATTTATGACATGCTCTCATCCATTAGTAAAGTAGTAATAATTTGTGCCTAATTTCGCATTTATAGGCCAAGTATTCAAACATCAACAGCGCATACGTGTCCCCGAACTTAAGCGCCGAGAGGGTGAACGCCAGCTGTCAGACCGACCGGTGCCACAACGCCTCCGACATCAACCCGCGGGCCGTTTCCGACGGTTCCAATGGGATGCTCGTCAGGTATGAAGCATTTTATTGCCTACACTTTGCACTCGTAGTAAGCCTTTGCATTCATAATGAATAACTGTTTGATAAACAATAATATTAAATGCCTTTCTCTTTCATTCTCTCATATCTTATGTCTGTTCCATAACAACAGCTTTTGGATCAGTAAAGTTCCCGCTTTTGCTTAACTACTACTGAACTACTCATAACTTAAACACTTTTCATATATTTATACTCCACTTCAGTATACGCTATATACACACACACTTTATATATCACATAATCAGTACCGTATTGTATATAAAAAAACAATATTAATATTAATAACTTTCACTGATAACTCTATTTTTTGAGTCAACATTTCAAGTTTGATATCAAAGCTCACATTCAGAATAGTTCTCGTATTTTAATTAACAAATGAATTGCTGTAGTCATTGTAATTTACAAATGGATAATATTTTTGCATTACTTTTGTAGCGTTTGTTGTACTCATGTTCCCGACACCAACACATGAGTGAAAAACACAAATCTTCACACATTTGTGTTGACACTATGACAGCAGCTATTGATGGTGTGATTCAATACAGTTAACAGTGATATACAAAAAGCACAGAATCGTATTCATGTGATCACTCATTCGTTAATAATTATCACTTTTCATTTTTCAAGAGTATTGCTCCCAAACCACTATTATTAACATATTGTTTCTTTTTTAGACAATTTATATATTTATTTTAAAACCAAAAATTTTAGTTTTTATGTATATTAAATTATTTTCATTGGCAACGATATTGAGTTCAATTATAAATATATTCGTATAGTTTAAGTATGTTTTTGATTTGTTGAGAATTGGGTTATTATTGATTCCATTATTACCGGTTATATTACCGATGAATTTAAACTAAATCTTTGTTTGTTTAAATTAATTGTATTACAATAAACTTATTTATTAAAAATATCATAAACTCAATTTTTTACAATTCATAAGTCAACGAATTATAACGATAACAATGTAGCAAATGTAAAATATAAGTTAATCTAAACTTAATTCATTAATAACTTACTGTTTGGCGTGAAAATGTTGAGAAGTGATGGACAAATGCATTGGTTTTTACATATGTTTTATGGCACAATGATTGATCAAATCTAATGAATAGCCGTTTGGATGAGTTTTGGCTCTAAAACTGTGGTCCAATTGATTTTCAATGAGATTATATCGGTTGAC